ATGACTGAAAATACAGCTGCGCATCACAGCAATCATTTTAAAATATATTCAAATAGAAAACAGTTATTTGAAATAGCCTAGTAAAAATATTTTAAAATTTTACTGTTTTGCTGTACTTTGGATCAAATGAATGCAGGCTTGGTGAACAGATGAGACTTCTTTAAAAAACATTAAAAATCTTACTGTTCAAAACTTTTGACTGGTAGTGTATAGGCAACTTTAATTTTTCTCTCATTTCTAGCTTTTAATTGGCTTAGAAATCAGATAACTGCTGGACAGTGACCAATAATAATGATTTGTTTATATACTACAAACACGTTTTTATCACATAATAAGGCAGAATAGTTTCTATACTGTAATAAATGCTATGTCGGTTAGCACTGCATTGTTCATATACTTTATTTATTACCTGGAGATGACTTGACAAACACAAATAAACCATATATTGTCGCAATCGTATGTTGATGTCTTCATGTTTCCAAACGTTTCTGTTTTCTGTGAAAACAACTATTTTCATACAGCGATAGCTGGACGCTTTTGTCCATATTAGGAATTTCCTCATAGGACTTTCTACGCGAGAGCGCCCTTCCGGCTACGAGTATGAATGAAACATACACTGCACAGAGTGTTTAGCAACGCCAAATCAGCATATTAGAATGATCTCTGAAGGATCATGTGACACTGATGACTGGAGTAATGATGCTGAAAATTCAGCTTTGCGTCATAAATTACATATTAAAATATATTCAAATAGAAAACAGTTATTTTAAATTGTATCAATAATTCACAATGTTACTGTTTTTAACATCAAATTAATTAAATGCAGCCTTGGTAAGCATAAAAGACAACTCAAAAACAGGAAAAACAATCTTACAGACAATAAACTTCTAAACAGTAGTATACCTCATTTTGCAAAAATTCTCCATTGTGTAAGGCCTCGAAGGACAAATGAACAGTTTTACTCTTTAGATAAAAAGAGTTTGAGTTCTGAGATGTGACTGACCTTAGCGGCCCTAACCAGCTGATAACATCTGCTGCAGCGGTACAGATTATTACCCTCAAACATCTCCTCCTCCACAAACATGTTCCACAGCGCCTCCTCTAGCCCACTCACACCACGCACTGACAAAGTCAGGTCCAGAAAGTCCTCCTGAGACAACAGAAATGAAAGCATTTATTTCAAATTGAAATCTATTGTAACATGATAAATGTCTTTACTGTGGCTTTTGGTCAAATGAATGTGTCCTTGCTAATAAAATTATTAATTTCTTAAAAAAAAACACAAAGAAATAAATAAATACCCCAAACTTTTGAACAGTGTATCATAAATAATAAATATGCCGTTTTTGTGCTGGTTATATTTAAAGTTGTCACAGTTGGACTGCTGGAAGCAAAAATAAGTAGAGGGAAAAAAGGGCACATTCTTCTTTCTGACCTGTCTCTCACTGATATTGCCACACTCCTTGCAGGTGATCTGGTTGACAAGCGTCCCATGGTACAGCCGGTGTATGAGACTGCTGCCTGAAGTGCCTACTAAAGAGCTCTCCAGAGCACTGAACAGGATCCGGTTCAGCTCCTGCACATCCTGCTGACCCATTTCCTAAAGACAAAATCAAAACATAAGACCAAAGATTTGAACAAGCTGCTTGATCATTTTAGTTTGATTCGCAAGCCACTGTTTGGTCTACAAGCACACATTTTGACTTCTCAAACCAGAGTAAAGCACTCATTCCTATTTCACATATGAAGGAGGAAAGGGGAATTTCTTAAAGGTGTAGTATCAATGAACAGTTGCTGATTTTGCCTTGAGCAAGATCATTCAGTTACATCATAGATGCTATTACCCAAAGTGACCCATGCGACCCTGGGGAACCATTTAACCCCAGATTACAAAGGCACTATCTTTGCAATCAGTCACTGTTAGATGAAAAGTACCTGCTAAATGGACAGTAAGTATAGATCACAAGTCTTTGTACCTCATTGTTCGTCCAGCCAAAACTGTCGGTCAGGTCTGTCGTGGAGGCTGTTTGTTCATCCACCAGCAGCAGATGAGAAAAGAGTCTCTGAAGCTCCAGAGGAATCACACGGGCCTGAGATCATACAGAACCATAAACATCTATACATCTGGTCTGTATAAAAACTTATAAAGCCTTTTATTCATCTCCCACTTACACACATTCATACACACACCTTTGCCTCTGGTTTGTCCTTGTCAGCCAGACATCCTAATTCATCCGGTCCGAGACGGAACAGCTCCTCTGTAAGAAATGATTTTATGTCATAACACCATAAAAAATCAATTCAGCCCAAAAAGAAAATTCTGTCATTCTCATGTTGCTCCAACCATGTATGGCTTTGTTTTCTTTTTTCTTTGCCACTCCATCAATATAAAGTGAATGAGAACTTGGGCTGTCAAGCTTCAAACTTACAAAAAAGTAATTAGAAAAGAATAAGTGATTCATATGGCCCTTCAAGTCTTCTGAATTTATCAACATCTTTGTTGGACAAACAAGGCAGAATCGTTATTTAGTGGAAATCTTAGCAGCTAACTGAAAGTTGAAACTGATTCCTGAACAAATCATTAGTTTGGATCAATCGATTCATTGAACTCAAGCATCGAGCCCAAACAACCTTTTACAAACCAACTGCAAATGTTATCATGAAAGTGTAATCTACAAATGACTAAATATCATTTAAGATAACATGTATGTGTAACTTGTGTTCTTTCAACAGTTTGTAGTCTGTTTTGTGTGTTTCTGGGCATGAACGTTACTAATTTTTCCAGTACACACACACACACACACACACACACACCTGTGTTTTTCATTAAAACTGATCTTAAATTATAAAACCCACCCGAGAAATGTTAACCATTTTAGACACGGGTTCATGCGTTCAGCAGATAAACGAACCATCGACATTTCGCAAATATATAACAAAAGGAAGCATCGCGTAATAAAGTCACGTGACTTCCCTAGCTCCGAATAATTGATTCAAAACAAAAGATTCATAAAAGTTCGAAGCTTCATTATGAATTAGAGAGACCAGAATGCTATTGAGAACTAAGTAAATAATGACAAAATGTTAATTTTAGACATACTAATTATCTGATTTATTTCCAGCCCATCTTACCCCTAAACTCTGGTGTGAATAGCAGAGTCTGGATCAGGGAGTTGAGGTAACAGGTGCCACCCTGATTCTTGATCCCGCAGAGTTTGATTTTCCCTCTGGGTGGTGGAGGCTCACACTCTCTCCCCTTCACACCTGTGCCAGGTGTAAAGGAAGAAAAACCATCCCCGTCCTCCTCAAACAGATCTCCAAACATGGCCGCGGCTGCCTTGTAAAGCTTACTATTGGTAAACCTCCTGTTCTTTAGTGAACCGAGTTTCGTTTACTGTGAAAGGAAAGCGTTTCACCTCTTGCTATCTCATCTTGGTCTTCCCCAGCTCCCGATTAACAATCAATGGACTCACCCTGGAATACGACGATTTTACAGGACTAAACATCGCTTTCTAAACCAAAAGAAGAACTGAATGCTCTTTTTGTCTAAGTGTCGTTCCTCTGGATGAATCACGGGCGTCGTGAGTAAATCTCAGTCCTTAAAACGCAACGTGGAAATCTGAGAGGTGACTGCACTGCTTCCATATTTCACCACTGAGATTTAAAAAAAACAATTATGTTTTCGTTGACAGCCGCTGTATTAGTTTCGTTTTATTAGACCGCTAACGTATTCAGTAAATTCATCTTTTTAAACTCGCCTGTTTCCTTCGAATCGGCCAGTTTATTAGTAGTAATAATGGAAAAATTGAAATCTGAGTAGAAAACCATTAATGTTTTTAGGACGCAGCCATGTTTGCTTGATGACACGTCAAGCCGCTATGCATTGTGGTACTTGTAGTTCTCATGTTAACTGCCCTCCTTCGTGCAAGTAATCTTGTTTAGCTTAGAAGAACTACATATTTCCTTCAACTGGCTGTACCTTGGCTTTATGGGTTCTGTAGTTTAAAGATTACATATTTATATAATAAATCTGTTGTTATACACAAACGGCCTATACAAAATTAATGTAATACACATAAATGTTCATATTTAAATCTGTGAAACATGAACACTGATAAAACCGCTATAAAGTAAGATCAATTTATTGTAGTGCAAAGAACAAGAGGTAAAATACATTTTTACATATAAATAATATTATTTATTACATTATTTTACATTATGGATATAATATTAATTAAACATTGGTATGCACGTTCCACAAATGATTGTACCCTATTTATGGAAAGTGTGTGTTGTAAATAAAAGTTACACAGAGCCTAAATGATCTGTGCCCTCATTTCACTTTCTGTATTCACAGGATGTCAAATGCGCAGATGTTGACTTCTTGAAACAGAATAGTCTTTCCCGCAATGTCATTTTAACAGTGATTTAAGGACACATTTGTGAGATTCACCACTGAAAGTTTATCTTGCATCTTGACAGTCCTTTTTACACAGCTGAGGTAGTTTTCAGGAAGTATCAAACTCCATAATCCACTGTCAGCTTGATTGACTTCTCTGACATTAAAGGGCTTCTCATCAAATGTTAGTGGTTTGTAAGTCAAGAGAAGAAGAGAACGATTCAGTTCTATCAACTTCTGTGGCATATGATAAAAATAAGCAAAAACTGAACTATTGTTTGTGCCCTCAGTGGATCCTCAGCTTGAAGACTTTGGAGAGAGGTGCTTTGGCACTGGAGTACATCAGGTATGAACCCTCAGCTGAGGTAAAGAACTCCCAGTCACTGCATCCAATAGTGGGTAACCGATGGACAGGAACAAAGCCCTCATATCCCTGCCATCTGTGAGAGACAAAAACAATGATACTGAAAGGAAATCTATCTTCATTTGCTTCAATATTCATTTATAGTTTATAGCACTGATATACTGTAATCATATCCTATAGAAGCCCATTTCCTTCACACAATAAAAAAAAAAGGCCCTAACCCTAACTTTATCTCCCAATTCTTTTTTTTTTCTTCTTGCAATTCTGGCTGTATATTTCGTTTTGGACATTTTTTCTCAGAATTATGAGGGGGAAAGCCAAAATTGTGAGATATTTGTTTATTTTTATTTTGTTTTATTATATATTTATTTATTTATTTGAGAATTGTTATTTCTAAATTGTGAGATTTTTTTTTTATTCCAAGGTGGAAATGGGCTTCCATATTATGATAATATTTGAGAAAATAACTATTGAAAATCATTTACAGATCCTAGTCTTATCCTGGCTATATAGGCCTAGTTGTTGTATATCAGAAAATTGTTGTTTATTAAGCAATACCATGAGCACCTAAGTGAAATTTATAGGTTTACTTATCTCTTAAGTCAGGGGTTATGATCTGTGTATAAATGTTTGAGCTTTCAATCATTACCTGTATATAACGCTGTTCAAAGAGTAAGACGATCCATCATAAGAGTTGGCTACGACTAAGAAATGCTCATCTCCAACCGAAAAGAATTCCCAGTCCACCGCACTGTCATTCAAGAGGAAATCAAGTCAAAAGATGTGGAGAATTGATTCTCAAACCTTTATAGTTCAGGCTTTACCTGTATGTCACAATGTCTTGGAACTTGAGGAACATCTTGGTTGTCATATCAAGTTCATATATAGTTGAGTTGATGGTATAGAGGCTTGGTCCTCTCTCACACAGCATGTGTCCATTAGCAAGAGCTAGGAAGACTCTGTTCCCAATCTGAAACATCTCCCAGTCTGTAGCCCCAAATGTCTAGAGACATGAGCAGATATAGTTTGAGAAAGAAAAATAGATTTGGTCTGGTAATAACAATACATTTTCAAAAGCATTCATGCTGCCATGGCTTTTATCATTGCCTTTAAATTGTTTAAAAGGTCGAGGGTAAAGCCTGCTTACACTATTTCTAGTAAGTAGAAGTTAAACCTCAGAAGTATTTCTATACTAGGTTAAAGGGGTCATATGATGCGATTTCAAGTTTTCCTTTCTCTTTGGAGTGTTACAAGCTCTTGGTGCATTCAAAAGTATTTCTATACTAGGTTAATACTAGGTATTTTTGGAAAAACACAGTCCTGCCGAATTGACACTGACTGCATCCACAACTTCATGAGATCCATATCACATCACTGTGATGTATGACTTTGATTTTGTTAGATGGTAAGATCTCAAGAATTTAATTATAGTGTAACATCATCTAAACACTTGATATTAACAAAAAACTCTTGTTCTTTTTCTTTCCCCCTGTAAAACACATCTGCACACTGGGAAATTCCCTTCTGAAACGGCTGACAACATCACAAGCGGTGAGTCTGCCTTGTTAAGTCTGTTGACATGTACTTGTGATTTAGAGAAAATTCAACAATGATAAAAAAAAAAAAAAACTTGTAACATTTTTATAGACTTGAATGAAAGAAGCCATTACATTTTCATCTGACTTCCGATTGCTGATTTTAGTAATTTTTTATATTCAATAAAATGTTCTATTCGACCAATTTTAGGCATAGTTCTCCAAAGAAATTCTGCCATCTCCAATTGTATTTTCTCTGTGAAACAAAAAAGATTTTTCCAAACTGCAATTACAAAGAAAATGGATGGTGACTTATATTATCAATTTGAACATCAAATCGTTTAGACTACTTTTATTAATTTTAAGGCTTGGAAGTTTTTCGATTTTGGAGTTTTACCATCCACTTCAGTTTTATAAAAAAAAAAAAAAGGGTAGCTCCAACAACATGTGCCTAAGCTTTCCTAGGTTTAATGGAAAAAAGAATTGTTCCTTTACTGTAAGTGTTATTTATCAGAAATCACCTTTCTAAGCCCAGTACACATGAACAGACATTTTCTATTTCTCATTTTTCCTTTTGATTAAGTAAAAATATATTATATTTTTAGTGAAATCATTTGCAGTGAAGAATGAAAAGTTTGTGACAACAGGATTTCAAGCAATACATCTCTTTAGTAGCGGTTCAGGGTCTTTTACGGCGGTTAAAGCTTCTGTTCACCCTATACTTAAACAACCCCAGCTATACTACAGATGTCCCAAGGTGATTCTGGGAGAACAGGTGTCAGGTACATTTAAAAAAAAAAAAAAAAGTGGTAGGGCCCTACGGTGAAAAACTCCCAGTCATAAGCTCCTGATGTCGAGATGGTTTGGTTTATCTCAAATGTCTTAGTGCCTGGGTTCCACTTATAAACAATGCTGTCAATGTTGTGATTGCCATTCTCTGAAAGGGATGACAGGAACATAAGGTAAGGGTTTGAAATGATAATAAATGTAACTAATGGCACCTATTTTAAGAGCAGTAACAAAATGAAATGCTGATACCATCTACTGAACTGCATCAGAGGCTCCAAACTTATACACTAACAGTCAAAATAATTAAATTGTTTTTATGTATTTGAAAGAAGTCTCTTATGCTAGCCAAGACTGTATTTATTTGATCACAAATAGAGGAAAAAATAGTTTTTGAGGGAGAGAACAAAAGTGTAGTTGCGAGATACAAACTTTTAAAAAAAAGGGTAGAATTGCAAGATATAAACTCAGAATAATAACTTTTTCATGCAGTTGCACTTTCACAACTCACAATTTATATTTTTTATATCTCGCAAATTTTTATATCTCGACTTTCTTCCCTCAGAAATCCGAGTTTACATCTCACAATTTTTTTTATTTTTTATTCCACCATAAAAATAAAAAAAGGTAATTGTGACTTCTTAATCTCACAATTCTGACTTTTCTTCTCAGAATTGCGTTTATATCTAATTCTGAGTTTATATCTTGCAATTCTGTTTATGTCTCACAATTCTGAGTTTATATCTCGCAATTCAGAATTGCAAGAAAAAAAAACAGAGTAATGAAATATGAACTCAGAATTGAGAAAATAGTCATAATTGTGAGATTAAAAGTCGCAGTTACTTTTATTAATTAAATAATTTTTTCCATGGCGGAAATGGGCTTCCAAAGAATTGCGAGATGTAAACTCAGAATTCAGAGAAGGGAAAAAAGTCGGAATTGTGATATACAAATGCAGAATTGCGAGATAGTAAGCCAGTATTCAGAGGTCAGAGTTTATATCTCACACTTATGACTCAAAATTGTGAGAAAAAATTCAGAATTGTGAGATGAAAATTTGCAATGACATTTTTTTTTAATTCTGTGATGGAACAGGCTTCCATACAATATTCTTTCACTGTATAGCAAAAATATCTTCAAATATCAAATTTTATTTATTTTTTGATACACAGATGAAAGGAAGTCATATGGGCTTGGAAAGACATGACGGTGAGAACGAATCTTAATTTTGAAGCAAACGTTTATGGTGTGGGGTGAACTGAGAAGCATTTAGCAGTATTTTAGGGCAGTTATGTATAAGCCTAGTAGGCACCAAGGAATCACTTGGTTCAGCCTTAGTACACCATTGTTGGACCAACCTGTTCGGTGATTAGCCACAGCTAAAAAAGCTTCATTATTAATATGAAAGGCCTCCCAGTCACGAGCGCTGTGCGTCTCCAGGGTCTGATAACGCACAAACTTCAGCCTCTTATTACTCCACCTATAGATCACAGACAGCTCTCGCTCTCCGTCCGCTGGGCCCACAGAGTTCGACACCGCCAAGAACATCTGGCACACATACAACACACACAGTGATAAATGAGCCTGATACAGACAAACAGAGATAGAGTTACACTTATCAGTCAGCCCGTCATTTGGCTATCATGAATCCAGCTCACTAAATTTAGAACAGTGTGAAGATCAGGTGGTAGATATACTGTACTATATAGCCTAGTATGAGTCATAATTTCACTCAGGCGAAGAGTTTAGTGATGTTTTAACTGATACAAATACAAACTCTGTGATATAATGATGATGATAATAGTTGTAAGGGGCTGCAGGTTTCAACAAAGCACTTTTATTGCTTCCTAGTCTTTATAATTCAAGATCTGTGTGATATAATTAAGACTAAACCAGTCCACTGCAGACAGACAGATGTGTATAAATGATTCATTCGGGGAAGGGAAAGCATCAGACTTGAAATTAATTTCTGTGATTGACTACACTAGTGATTTAAAGTTATTGCATACGTTTGTACTGAGTGTAAGAAACACCACATCAAAACACACCTGTCTCCTGCAGTGCAGTGTAAAGTCTGTTCTCTGTGGCTCTGTGCATGATTGAATGGAAAACATGCAGATCACACTTATGGTACTGAACCACGTCTAGTGTATCTCTAAACCTAGTCTCAGTTCTTGCCTGCCCCTTACCTCATTCCTGACTGTAAGTCTCCCTTAACATTTCACCTCAGGCCTTTTCTGCCAGTAATTATTTCCTAATGAAGTGCCAATCACTGCTCTCTGTACAACCTTTGCCTGTTTAACTGCAAATTCAAGTCCTCTGTTTAATGTGTTTCTATATCATTGATATGACCCTTATTGTTTTTTTTTTAATTCATATATTTTATTTATTTCTTTTAACACTGTGACTTCAATAAACATTTTACATAAATTTCTTAGTTGAAATTAATGATGATATTTTTGTAATTGTTGTTTCTTCTTGTTTTTTTATACATTCTAACCTATGGTAATTTTAAAAAGCAATTATTTTAGCTTTTAAAAAAGTAAAAAATAATGAAGAATGAGAGTGAAAACTGTGACTTGAATACACATCTTTTACAGTTTCAATTTCTTAGTTAAAATTTATGTTGATATTTTTGTACTTGTTTGTCCTTTTTGCTTTTACCTTTTTACAGTTTAAATTTTTTTTTCTGTTCTATCAAGTTTTTTTTTTATAAGACACAATTATTATTAAAACACACAGAAAAAAATTACAATAAAAAAATGGCTAGGTGATATAACTGTCCAAAGATTGTAGTAAAGAAACAACCAAAATACTGAAATTCAAATAAAAAAAGTTTTCTTGAAAAACCTGCCAAATCAAAATAAGTACAATGAAATTAGGCCTTTTTTTTTTTTAATTAGACACTCATATGATGCTATTTTAAAGATCATTATTTTGTGTATTTGGTATAACAGAATATGTTGACATGCTTTAATGTTCAAAAAACACATTATTTTTCAAATACTGTACATTATTGTAGGTCCTCTATGCCCCGCCTCTCTCAAACACGTCGTTTTCAACAAAGCCCCCTCCTTTGACAAGCACAGTCTGCTCTGATTGGCCAGCTGAACCAGTGCATTGTGATTGGCCGAACACAAGCACTCGTCGGAAATGTAACGCCACTTACCATAATCGCGAGGAAAGGAAAACTTGAAATCGCATCATATGACCCCTTTAAAAGAATTGTAAAAATCTGATTAAATTGAAATGATTAATATGTCTAAACTCTATATTCGCTGACAGCTGTACCACTTGAAAGTTTTAGACTTTGACAACGTTATTGTCTTTTCTCACCTTCCTCCCTATAGTGAATTGCTTCCATGCCTGGGCCTTAAAGGTGCTGATGTTCTGGTAGAGCTGGAATTGGCCATGGTTCCAGCGGTAGATGGCAGAACCTGGTTTGTTGGCCCGATGAGCCATAGCAGCAAACAGCCCAACAGAGGGAATCTGGAAGAGCTCAATGTCCAGCGTCTCTGAGGTGGTATAGAGGTCCTGGTAATCATCTACATAGTCTAGTCTGTCTTTCTCTGTAGATTGAATAGCATTAAATAGAGCTGCTGAGAGACTTCAGCTGACATAACACAAACAAAAAGGTGTCAAAAAGCATCCCCAGGGTTTTTTCATGGTAATCATAAAATACCATTGTATTACTCTCTGATATCATCACCACTGTCACAGTACTTTTTGGTAAAGGGACTGATCCATTATGGTTATGGTAGTGAATAATTATAAGATATGAAATTTAAATATGGCATGTTAAATGTAAATGGAACATGATTTTCTAAATTAAAATGGCGGACTCAAATCTCTGTTGCGTGATTGTTTAGACTTTCGAAAAACTCTATCATAGAGCTCTATGTATAGATACAGTATGTATATAAAAAAAAATATACAGCTTTATTTGGATACATACAGTACACTCATGTAAAGCCAAATATACTATATAGCATGGGGAAAAAATTGTGTGTGTGTGCGCGCATGCGTGCGTGTGTGTGTGTTCAATAAGTATATCAAACTATACCCATGAAATTGACTTGACAGGTCATAGTTATAAAGTTAAAATGAAACAGTTTGTTTTAAACCTAAAATAATAATAAAAAAAGTCATCTTTAGCTTCCTACCTTGCAGCATAGAGTGCCAGTATGCACCATCACATAGGAAAAGGCCTCTTTTAAGAGTGTCAAACCAGAGTTGTCCCTCCTCTGCCGAAGTGCATGCTGGTTTAGACCCCAGAGTCACACGGACCTCCGTCTCTGAAATAAAAATGCAAACATACAGAGCAAATATGTTTACATTAAAGTAATATTTCTTTTTGAATGACATTAAAATATATTGTATTTGATGAAATCTGTGATTAATGGATTATTAAAATATATTTTTTGATATGTTAATGAAATTGGATGACTATTTGTAATGGATATACCTCATCAAAAGAATATGGATATGAAACAAGTGTTTCAGCATTTCATCACAAGCGAAACAATCTGTCTAGTCAGCTCAGGCTGTGAGGGTGTTAAACTATTAACCAAGGTATGTAATCTAGATCAAAGCTGCCATTAGCTCATTTAAATTGTCAATACAAGTGATATAAACACAGTATTGTTTGTCATGCCCAAGATGTGTGCCAGCGTAAACCCGTACACACTCAATCACTGACAGCTCTCACTGCAAGCGGCAGAGCCTCTGTTTTCCTTTTCAGAGCGTAACAAGTGTCAGATGTTTAGTTTGGGACCATAACTCAATCCAACCATGGGTGATGTGTCATTGGTGTGGTCTTTCACACCACAGATCTGTTCTTTTCTTCAAAATGTTGTCCATGGCTCCAGTCATGATACAATAATTTTTTTTGTAATGGTTCAGTGTAACTCAGTGTTAGCATTGGCTGGGCTGATACAGTGCATCCGGAAAGTATTCACAGCGCTTCACTTTTTCCACATTTTGTTATGATACAGCCTTATTCCAAAATGGATTAAATTCATTATTTTCCTCAAAGTTCTACTAACAATACCCCATAATGACAACGTGAAAGAAGTTTGTTTGAAATCTTTGCAAATTTTTTTTTTTTTTTAAACGGAAAAATCACATGTACATAAGAATTCACAGCCTTTGCCATGACACTCAAAATTGATCTCAGGTGCATCCTGTTTCCACTGATCATCCTTGAGATGTTTCTACAACTTGATTGGAGTCCACCTATGGTAAATTCAGTTGATTGGACATGATTTGGAAAGGCACACACCTGCACAGTTAACAGTGCATGTCAGAGCACAAACCAAGCCATGAAGTCCAAGTAGGTCTGTAGATCGCCGAGACAGGATTGTATCGAGGCACAGATCTGGGGAAGGGTACAGAAAAAATTCTGCAGCATTGAAGTTCATAATAGAACAGTGGCCTCCATCAGCCGTAAATGGAAGAAGTTTGGAACCACCAGGACTCTTTCTAGAGCGGGCCCGCACTCAGGCACCACTCATCACCTGGGGCCTCATTTATAACCGCTGAGTACGCACAAAAACAGCCCTGAAAGAGGCGTACGCCACTTCCTGCGTAAAAGGTGGGATTTATAAAAACAAACTTGACGGGAAAATTTGCACACCTGAACGCAGGCTCTGACCCATATGTACAAACTTTTTTTCCTGGAGATAGAAAAATAATGAATTAAACAACGATTTTAAACTGTTTTCATTTCATCATATACATTTACATTAAATATTC